TATCTCTTAATATGTTACATAGCTAAATGTTAAATTCAATTGATTATTTCTATAATATCAAGTTAATAAAATTTTGTCGCATCTTCTGTTTATAATTACGGGCTATTTATATTTTGACATATACTCTTTAAAAATATGGTGTAAAAAATGTGACATAAAGCGTCTCTCCCGTGCAACACACCGCAACTATAAAGAATCATGATTTATTGCACCAGCAAGACGTGTTTGCCCCAATTTCGTTAACACCTCTCAAATTCTTCGAGGTCGAGCGGTTTCGAAAACGCGGGACAAAACCACAGAATGGACATAATTATTTTCACGCTACGGAGCCGGAAGAGAAGCTGAGAGAATATTAATAATATATAATATATTAGGTATATATATAAGCGAGACGACGCAGCACATAAAGTTTGCCGTAGGGAAGCATAGGTGCAAATTGTCCGGTCACTCAATTGCAGGCACGGAATTTCGTGCTACAAGTTTCGCTTCATGTCTGGGAAAAGGTAAAACTACTACTGACCGCAGTTTTTGTACGGTTTAACAGGATCCAGCTTGCAAACCTGTCCATTCGTTCAATCTTTCGACTGAAAACCCAACTGTGCGGTCATAAATGTCAGCGAGAATATTAGACTATTTTTATCCAAATTATTTAACCGGCTCCCAAATAAACCCCTAAATGAGCTCGAAATATCATTCCAATACTCGAGCGAAGAAATTGACTATTATAGCATTACGCCGCATCGATTTGATTCTATTCTTCTAAGGCAATATGCAATTTTCATGGTGTATGAAACAAAAATTAAACTCCAAATACACTTGTAGTTTTATTTGTAAAATTTCTTTAAATTAGATACTTTTTAATTATTGGCAGAATACTCTTAATTTATTTATAGATATTTTTTAATTAATTAATTTTTATAAATTGCGTTAAAGTGTAAACATAATTGATACAAATAAATATAAAAAGTAAAAATAATCCTAAGTAATTCAGCGATTAATTTTCAATATCCTCTTTTTTATATTTCCGATTAATTTGTTTTAATTTTCTAAATTATTTTAGCTTTCTACAAATTTTTCTACAATGTAGATCAAAACGAATCTCACGCCGAATATGAGAATTGACGGATAAATATTTACATATTTAGAGAATATTTTTCAGATGAAAATTTCGTTCAGTTTGATCGTCAATATGTGGCAATTGTGAAAAATTGAAAGGCAGCTGCGACAAATCGGCGCGATAACGGCAAAATGCAAATCACGGACATCGCATTGTCGACTTTTTCCAATCCTACGAATAGGAAAAGCGGAAGCGTTTTCGCAAGAAGCCAATTAGTCGTTCGTTCGTGAATCCCTGTACAGAAGCGTGAAAACGACGAACCAAAAACGTGACGTTACGTGTAAACGTTTGTGCGCATTACAGATAAAGCCAAGAATAATAATTATACACCACATCCTAAATTCTATAGCTTATAATTCTAGCACATAACATGATTAATATATAATATTAAATATGCTGATAATTATATATTCGCACAATTTTGAGCTAACTTACGAAAGCAAAATTACTCGCAATTTTTTATAACACAAAATTTAATTTTAATTTAATTTAATTTTTGCTAAATATTAAATAAAGGAGTTTTACATAAAAGAAAAATAGGAATTTTCAACTGTTATATAAATTGGTAAATTAGTACATTATTAATTTAACGAAAAAATTTCTCATATGCATTTTTGAAATTATTCTCTTGAAATATAAATATTTCTTTTATTCTATACATAGTAAATATATATTAATGTTTATTCCGAAATTTTTAGCTGCATTCAAATTATGAAAGTTTTAAACAGTGTCTTTTATACAAAGAAAGGAATATAACTTCTCGAAAGGAATAACCTCTGGAATTATTTGTTAAGAGATAACATAATAATACATAACTTTGTTCAAACTTATTTTTGTAACAAATTATTTCGCTTATTATCCAATGGCGATCAATATATGTCTATTGCATCAACGGCGCTATACGATAAGACGAGCGAAGTTGGACGATGTCCGGATTCGGGACTGCTTGAGAATGCACGAACGCTTTCACAAAGTTTTAGCTGCAAATTTCGTCGACTCGTGCCGATGGCGTGCGCCGGCTTATCGTCGCTTTATTGCACTGGCAAACCCTCTCATCGTTGGTGTCTCAAAATAAATTTTCTCGAGATAAATAGGAGTTCCAGTTTGTTCGAGATAAGCAGACCAGGCGTGCGGTCAAAATATAACGATACTGGATACTAAAGTTCCAATTGATGAAAATTTCCTCATATTGAATGCAGGAGAAATATGAAGATGACAATATTTACGAAGTTTTAGAATTATCAATTTTAAAGTCGGGCTGATGAATATAAGCTGCAACGTAAAACGCACGATTCTTCATTTGTGGATGTACTTCATTGAAAGTTACGGCGGTAATAGAAACGAGGAATGATAATTTATAAGGAGATAATTCTCTTTCCCGCTCTCTCTCTCTCTCTCTCTCTCTCTCTCTCTCTCTCTCTCTCTCTTTCTTTTAAAAATATGACATCTTAGGTTGAAGACGTGAAATATGTTAAATTGTTAAATTTAACTAGTTTTGCAAATCAAAAAGTCTCGAAAATTTATGTAGTTTTAAAGCAAAATACATTTATTTTTACCATACATAAAAATGTAATGCTCTTCGATCTGTGAATTATTTATTGATACAATTTGATTAAACTTAATGACACTTGATTTATTAAGGACATCCATATTTTAAAAGAATATTGATATTTTTTAGATTTTTTTCAACTTTGTTTGATCGATCCATCAGTTATGAAGCTATATAAGTACTTGATTTAACTAATGCATTCTCCATTTAAATAAACAATACGTCATGATTGATACTGGCCCCGACATAGTCGTCTCGCAGAAAGCTCAGATATTTCAAACAAGAGAGAAAGGGCAGCTTGGAAAATCTAGCGACAGCTTAAAATATTATAAACCCAAGTTGCCGAGTTCTCGAACTGCCGGATGCATATCGAGCGCGCGCGAGATTGCCGGGGAAAACTTTCCACCTGGAATCTCGTTGTCTCTCGCGACGAGATCTCACCGTTGGAGTTTCATCGTCGATGTCCACGTACATATTTCCCCCGCGATAAATAAGGTTGACCCATTTAGCGGAGGCGACGTAGACGACTATACCGAAGAGGGGGTGGTGTGCGAGGGGTCAAAGTGCATTGTGTATTCCAACGTAGTGGCAGCGCAGTTTATACAACGGGGTCGCAGTAGCAACATACCAATTAGCCGTTTTGCATGGCGACCCATGCCGACTATACGCGTCGCGGCGTTTCCCCGGTTCGTACGAAAAAAAAGTTGCTTGCAACTTCAAAAAAAGAGGCTCCCTCGCCGATGGTGTGCCGATACGCTCGAGCGCGCGAGTTATCGAAAGCTTACTTACAAAATGCGCATCGATCTTCCTGAACTTCTCGAGAAGACAAACTCTCGTATAAGATATTGATTTTCATATATGTCCCAGATATACCTATCAATCTGCATCACAAGCGTCGTAAAATCAAAGTGTCAAGAGATTTCATCAGAAGATCGAGCAAGTACGTGCTTATGTTTCTGTTCTGTCACTGGTTATTCGTTACTTTTATATTGTACTAGACATCACAGACGTCTATTTAACTTTAACATTATAACTATTACTATTACACTATTAACCCCTTACATAAAACTGTCAAAATATATGATGACAGAGGCTCACGAAGTCAGCGCAATGAGAGAACCAATCAGCATCATCACTGGAGAAATGTCAACAATAAAATTTCTTACACGACTTTTTTATGAGTGGATGGATGGGCGGAAGATTACGCCCACAAGATTATTTCGCCTTTATCTTGAAATTAACTTATTGATAGCTTACTGCTGCGTTTCAAAGGGCATTTAGCGAGAGGCAATCGGCTAAAATTGCAGACGGTAATAATGGCGATGAACGGATGCCAGACGATAAGCTGCAAAACGATAAGCCCCTGTTTAAGTAGCAGTTAAGTGCAGATAATTAGCTACGATAATGACTAATGCATGCGCAACGTTTTATTTGCTCAAACGTCATGCAAACGTGTGCCCAATTATTCGCTCGTAATAATGTTCGACATTGAGCTTTATCGCTCGCGGAATGAGTAATGAGTAATGACTCAATGCCATATAACAGAACCTTAAGACTTGTCACGGGCTTCCAAAATTTTTTTAAATGTTTGTTTAAAATTGTATTATTTGCCGTGATAACACCCGGCATCGTATGTATCATTTTATTATTTATTTAATCTATTATATCTTCGAGATCTTACTTGTCTTAATTAGACCTTAATTATACTTTAATAAATGTAATCAGTAAAAACAGTAATAAAAACTTAATGATGCATCATTTAATCTCGTGGAAGTTTGTCGAAAATTTGGTGGAAATTAATCATGCAAAGCGAGATCACAATGTTTTATGAAAAAAAAATTCGGATTTGCTATTATTATCTCCACTATTGTCATTTCAAAATAGAAATATCTGCGCTTAAAAATATTTCATCAAAAAAAAATTAGATAGAAAAAGTTTCTGAAAATAAATAAAATTAACAAAAAGATTAACAAAAATTATTCAAACTAATAATATTTTACAAATTTGATTGTGTTCTAGAATATATAATATAGGATTTTTTAAATAAAACATAATATGTTAATAAGAAATAATTCTAATATATTAGTTTGCTTAATGAGATATTTATTTCTGAAAAAGTTTTTGAATTTTTTACATAAATTATCACATCTAGTTTTAGACACGTGCGCACACTTATGACAAAAATGGTATAATTACTTCAAAAATGACGGCTACTACGATGAATTACACATATAATTTTCCAGTAATTTAGATATGGAACAGTCTGTATGTAGGCATTATAAAACAATGACACAATTAGTATGATAGCAATAGTATATTATATATATATATAGTTTACAGAAGTAACATACGATAGTAAATATTCCATTCTTGTTGCATTTCTGAGCTAGCAGTCGTCTTAGCACATATTAGGTAAATATATGTATACATATATTACAATGATATATATATTGTTTACAGAAACAGTTAAAATATATTAACATATATTACAATCTCGCTCCATTTTTTTGTGATTATCAGTTTTCACCAGAAGAAGATACAGGAGAAACTAGGAAAGAAATCCCTTAAAATGCCTTCCTTGAATATGTCGTAAGTTCTGTTCATGTAGTTATTATTTAAGAAAGTACATACATCTAAAACGACGGGATAGAAAGTCACTTTTCTGAATATTTTAAAGGAAAATACCCAGGTAGAATAGCAAGTCACAATAAAGTCATGTGATGTCAAAATCAAATGATGTCAAAATGTGTCGATTTTTTGTCACTTTACCATCATTTTATCATTTTGACGTCCTTTGACTTTATTGTAACTTTCTGTTCTACCTAGATATAAAATAAGGTTTTATTATTAAAAAACATATATAGGCTTAAAACATTTTTAAATTTTTATATTGACACTTTTTAAAATGACATGGTGGTACTACAGCAGTTGACATCAAAAGCATCACAAACCGACTTTAAAAAATGGTACCAGCCGAGATAGCTAGAAAGAACGCATCTGCAATAAAAAATAAAAGTTTTTCTTAAAGTAAATTTAAATATTTTTTCAACTTTTTAAAAATTTTTATTTTTCAAACAAAGTGATAGATGTTTGAAACAAGCGTATCAATTTTACTCGCAAACTTTTATCATTAATTTTGCAATTGCAGGCGAAGAAATGTATAAAATAAAAAACCCTTACGATGCTAAAAGCAATTTAACATGTAAACATATAAAATTTTAAATAAATTAATTACAGATGCGTTTTTCATGGCCATTTTGTGACTATTTTAACTAGTAAATAATTAAGTTCTTATACATATAGATTATAATTATTTTACCCTGCAATTTGTAGAGTTTTTTAATAAGGTGCGTATAATAGAACGACATTAGTAACTTTTTAACCCTTGGTGGTCACACTTCTTTTTTGAACATTTTTTAAGGATTTTTTTGAACATGACGTCCCTCAAAAAGTTAATTTTTTTATAATGAGAATACATTCTATACAATGTTAAAACTTTGATCACTTGATCCTTGATCATCCTTTGATTCCGTGTGACTACCGAGGGTTGAACGCATAGTGTAATTAGTGTATTCGCACTACTTCCTATTTCTAATTCCTATTTCGCGATGATATTATAGATAATTCATAATCTCGAGGTACCCCGAGGTACCACGAGGCATCGTGTAGGTATGTCTGCTTTCGCGTGTGTGTTATATTACGAGCGTGCTCGAACGTTACGTATTACAGAGATCAGTATGACACTTTTATTTTTAGTTGTCACGACCTGTTTGACGAACGAGGAAGAAAATGATGGTCGGAAGTGCAATCGCGTCTCTACGCTGCACTCGATGGCTTATCGATCTTTGCATTTCCGCGCACTAGCCCCAATAAATTTATTTATAATAATACGAGATGCTGATTGCCACAGCTTGAACTCTTGAAATAAAAAGAATAAATATACTGAGAGAAAATCTGCATAAAGTGTATATCTTTTTTATAAATAAGAGGGAAAAGAATAATGAAATTATATGATTATATAAATAATAATATAATATAATAAAGAATATAATGAAATTCTCGTGCCTCTCTAAAAAGCACCGATCTGTCGATAATTAGATTGAACTATGTATAAAATTTTATTGAGACATAAGATTTTATTGAAAATATACTTTGTACATGAAACGATATAGCTGCAAGATACATAACACTCTCGAAGAATGTCAAAAATTCATTACTTTAAAGGAAACGTTTAATACAAAAGTGTTTATTACAACATTTATGTAGAATACAAATATTTTTCGTACCTAAAGTGACTGATTTTTCGGTATAAAAACGCGACCTTAATTTCTCCAATTTTTTTAGTGTCATCAGATATTTTGTAGAATATAGCTTACGATAAAAAGTCACCCATCGAAACTGCCTCGATATCTTTCATATTGATGGAGTATCCTAAGATCATGGGTATCCTAAGATAGACAAAGAAATATTTCAAGTAAAAACTTTATGATGTAGAAAACTATTTGCAATTTACTTTAACTTTTTGAAGACATCAAATATCTTAAATTCGAAACTGTCAAAAAAAAAATTTTAATTTTTCCAAATATTATAAGTCTATAGCAATAAACAGCTTTCAATATTGCGAGAATAGAATTTAAAACATTGTTTTTATGTATTTTAACCATGAAATTCAATTAAGATCAAATATATCGAATTAATTTTAAAAAGAAATTATTGTAATGCTTAAATTTATGGAAAATATAAACAGAACATAGATATCTTTTATTCTTAATTCCATTTCAATTACACCTACGTATTTTATAGACAAAATTGATCAAATATTAAAATAATTAAAGAGAAATTGCTAGACTCTTGTATTTCTTTTCTGTATAAATTCTTTATTTAAAAATAAACGTGCGAATTTTCTATCGGTACTGATACTCGGTACACCTCGATGTATCTCTTGCGCGACAATACCTCGTAAGGATCAATAAAGGATTAAAGCGCTGTCTTCTTCGCTTCGTGTATCGAATTACTGTGCGGACCGCATCGGTGACAAGGTTCAATCTTTTCGCAAAGTAATTAAAGACTCGCTATACAAAGTGCGCCAGCGCTCGAAGAATATTCGGTTTCGCATATTTAACGCGCAAGGAACCTTTCGCTGCGATGGTACGCGTGCCGTGAAAGCGAATCATTTCGAAGGATATTGCATTACAAGAGGCCCTGTTCGTGCAACGCGAGAGACGGGTCGATCCTAGCTAGAGTCTAGATACATTCGAGAGAGAGAGAGAGAGAGAGAGAGAGAGAGAAGGAGGGAGGGAGAGAGAGAGAGTTGGTAGGCTGCGGAATGCAAAACCAGACGATCTAAAATGCATGGAGCCTTCGAACGGTATTCTAAAATATTTACACCATCGGAGCACAATCTCGCAGCCACTATTCACCGATCGGCTTTCCCGATGCAAAACTCATAGCCAGTAATTATGCAACATCGGCTGCTGTTCTATCGGTATAAATATTTTACTGATCTAAATAGATGAAGTTCACCACACGACCTTTTTTCGGAAATTGCCTTGTATAATAATGCTTGAGTCAAATTTTTATTATATACTTGCGTACATAAATAATACAATATTTTTATTATATTATTCATATACGCAAATGTTCCATTATATGATTAAACCCAATTTTTAAAAATTGACAAACGTCAAATGTGTATCAAACAAAACATAAGTACAATCGAAGATAATGACTTGTAATCAATTTATAATTAAAAAAATATATGTTAACATAAAATAAAAATTTACTTTATATTTTATTAATTAATATTAATAATGAAAAAGAAACAAATATAGATATTCCAATAATAATATGACGTGGATATTACACGCTCGGATATTACACGAGCGCAGCATCGAATAGTTTCAACTTCGATAGAAATTCTCTCAGCTTCACTTTAAAAATTGTGTCTTTATCGAAAGGAATCTAACTGCGCCTCTGATCTCGGTGGTAAATTTTAAAGCTTAACCTTTTCTGCCGGGAACAGCGTCGACGATCAGATGCTCTTCCCAGATAGCCGTGATGGCGTCACGTTTCGGCATTCCTGTACGAGAAAACCCTCTTCTCTTAGGGAATATCCCCCGCGAAATATTCTTCCACCCCCGCTCACTTATTCCATGTACCGGCGCACGTACACCGCGCGCTCAGGCTTCGCGGGATTGGCAAGTCGGATGCTGTGCGACCTCCCCAGGTGCCCACACGGTGTACTTATCCGCTTTCTTTTTCCCCAAGACAATTTTCACTCTTCTGGCAATGTGATTTAACGGACCGAAACCACACTTTCCATGCATATTTATGAAAAGTTGCAGGAAAAAGCTTTACCGTGCAACGTTTGGCTGAAAATTAGAACGCCTGCGAAATACGTCACGGTACGGTTTTTTGTTATAGACGATATAGACAATCGATATGAAGCGGCTTTCATAGATTTTCAGATGCTAAGTATCCTCGAAGCGATATACATTTGTACGTTTTCCATTTGTTATTATTATTTTATATGCAAAATTTATCAAGTATTGAATTTAAATTAATGTAATAGGCCTCATTATATATATTCTTCTTTTGTTATTAATCTTATTTGTGAGATATTGAGCAAATTTATAATGGAAATTTCTTTTAATATTTAATCACATTTTATAAGCAAAAACCGCAAGTTATTTTTAAAAGGTTTTTTGCTTAAAAAAGAAATGAATAATGCTTCTAAGTAAAGCAAGCTCATCAGTTACATCCTAAAGCTTATATAAACTGTATGAAGCTTTAGTGTACACATATGAGTCATTTATTTTAGAACATATATAGTAAAACATAATTAAGAAAAGATTTCGTTATATTACTAAATACAGTTAATCCGCTGTTTTTTGCATTTTTATTAAAATAATTTTTATTTTTATAAATATATCTATACATAAACATTATATTAATTAACAAGATTTTAAATAATCTTGATATCTTAGGTTTCCAAATTTATAAATGTAGCGTTAACCTAGTTTACCCTCTACCTTTGGCAAAAATTTTATACAACATGATGGTATCGCTGTGAGCATTTCACCGCGGTCCCTCCGTTAACCGCTTGCAAACGCAAAAGTTTGCTTGAAAACAGCGAGACCAAGATATAAATGTCGCCACGAAACGAAGAAGCTGCATTCGTATCGGCGATCGTGCTCTCGCGAGGAAATTGTAGAATGCAAATGGCCGAGAATTTTAATCCGCGAACCAGCGCGACAACAACATCTATAAGCCTCCGCTTGTCACTGAAAAATAGTGAAAAAGCGACGCAAGAGAAAGAGAGAGAGAGAATGAAAACAAAATGAAATAAAAATAAATTTTTATATGACGTAGATTCGAATAAAAATTTTTTTATATATGCAAGATAGCTTCTTCAAAAAAAAATTATATAGTTGCTTAGTAAATTTATATAATTAATAATTTATGTTTTTCTCTTTTTTTTCTTTCTTGATCCGATATACATGCTTTCATTTATAAATTCTTGACATTATTAAATCCATTTTTCCTTTATGAAAATATGTGGACGCATTGATACTTTCAGGATTGTCCAATTGAAAATATATAACATTTTTGTATCATTTTTAATTATCCGTTGTTGTTGCTTTAAACAATTTGCTTTTGTTAATTTTATTGAATGGGCTCTCTCTCTCTCTCTCTCTTTCTCTCTCTCTCTCTCTTTCTCTCCCTGCCAGCTCCTTTCCTCCTTTCCTTTCGTCTGTGTTCGACTGCTCCTCTTTACTTAAAGAAAATAAAGATAAAGACCGGAAGTAATTAGATCGACGCGAACCAAAGTACACACATTACGACCGCATCAGAAAGCGTACATTTCCGCCTTTCGATCCGCGCCGAATAAACCCAGTCTCGGTGTTATCCTTCAGGGAAGGCTTGCTTAAGGGCAGCGACGGAAAGTATTCCGGCTCCTCTTTTTCGTTGAAGCCAACGAGAAACAACGGGGACGGTATAAAATTCGTGGTGCGGGGCTGCAGCCTTTAGTCGTTAAATATTTATGAGGCCTGGTTCTCCATTTTTTCCCCTTCTTTTTTTCCGACCGCGCCCAACCCGAAACTTTACAGTGGCGGCGTGGGTATTTGTCGGTGCCCGTCCGGCACAGCATCCGGACCGACGGGTCATCTGTTATAAAAATGGCGCTATGTTATAACAGAGAGGATGAGGACGCGAGGGAGCGTGTCCTCGCCTCTGTTTTTGCTGTCGGCGCGCGACAATTTCGTCGGATGATGAACGCGCTCTTCACCGGACGGCGGTCTTCATATACGTTCGACAGAAACGATTATAATTACGACCGCACTTTATCGTCAGATAACGACGCAGCAAATGAAGCGATTACGGAATAAAACGGATTTTGTTGATATATCTCAAGCTCGTTAATCTATTTTGATAAATCTCATAACATTGTTTGTTTTCCGAATCGCCAAGTTCGAGTGAATGTAGTTAATTGCAATTTGCAGCTTCTTTGATTCTGTCTTGCTATCGCGCTCTTCATCTTCCTCCTCCCCGTCTTTCTCTTTCTCTCGTATGCTCTTTCTCAGAAGTTGGGCTGCCTGCTTAATTTTATATTCCGGGCAGAAAGATTTCAGCGCAGTACCCCCTCATCGGAGCATACTTCACTTAATGGGTTGCTGACTTGGTAATTGCCGGTAGAGTACCACGTAATTTAGTCGTCCGTAACAAAGAGAGAGGAATATATTACCCCCTTTAAGTTAGGCCTCGCCCTTAGAGTTTAATGGAAATGCGAGTAAGAAAAATAAGTGCACCCCTTATAGGAGGAGACGGTAATGGGTGTTTGCCTATGAATACAAATGCACCGAATATCTCGCGCGTGCGTTTCGCATTTCCTCGTATGAGAACCCAAATTATAGCAGTGTAACAACTAACGGCTACGCAGACTTTGCGGATCTTTCGGAGAGATGTCTTTAAACAGAGGAATAGAA